AAAAAAAAAAAAAAGAAAAGGAAAGAATGAAGAACCAAGAAACTCAAGGTAAACAATATTTCAATAATAATATTTGAGAACAAGGGTCAGAGAGTAAAAGCTTTGAAAACAGGAATCGGAGAAAAGAAAAAAAAAAAGGACCACTAGAGTAAGTAGCATTCTGTGATGCTAGCAGCCTTCTTAATTCTATATTCTATTTATACTCATTTTCTGGAATAACCTCGGATGACATCATAACATCAGTCACCTGCAGGCTGAGTCGAGGGCTGGTCTTCACTGCTTGATTCGTACCCTGTGATAGAGATGGCCAAGTTTGCTAGAGTAGAAGCTGCCATGGAAATAACTTGCCCTGGTAACTCTGCCCCTGCAAAACAAGTGTGCATTTTTAACACTTTTTACAGCAAATGAACAAAGCAGTAAGTTACTCTTGCAAATGTAAATACAGTCCAAAGTTTTCAAAAGCAATAATACAAATTAGTTATTACTGATCCACTGGACCGGTAGATCTCTAGCGAGGAAGAATGCTTGAGAATCAACAGGAAAAAAAAAAAAAAGGATCAATAGGAAAGTTTGCTTAAAATGCAAATCTCTAGACTCCATGTGTCTGCCTTACTTGGGAACTTCACATTGGGGGGCACAGCAGATATTGCATATATAAATTTGGGGCACATACTTTTTAATCTTTACTAGTTGATTTTAATGCACATTTCTATTGAGAAACACTGGGGAGCACAAGTCTGTGAACTCCCTGATCAAGTAAGATTGCCTTAAGCCACTTTGTATTACCAGGTCCTATCACAGTATGGGACAGCCCACACTTGGTGTTCTCAAAAATGTCATTTTACAAATGAATATCTAAATGTATGTACGAATATGCCTATGTACAGGTATTATGCAAAATCAGAGAGATCTGTAAAGTACACAATTCAGGTAAAGCAAAGCCAACACCTGAAAATCTAAAGAAACATCATGACCATCTTATTATATGTTCCCATGTTAAATTACTAATATGTAGCATGGAATTTGATCATTTGCACTAGACTCAAATAAAACATTTACTGGCAAAATAAGGTCTGTCTGGAAAAGTCAGCTTTTAACCTGGTATGGCAGACAAGGCAGATGAGCTCATACAACACCAAATTCCAGCACGCTTTCTTGCACACTAGAATGGATCAAGACTGTATGTCTTGGACTCCCTTGCAGCTACAGTACCACATGGGATGCACTGTCCACTAAGCAAGCAGAAAGACAGTACAAGACTTCAATGACTGAAGTAATGCACTGTAATTTGGAAGCAGCACAGCTCTCATGTCAAACACAGTCAAGGAGGCAGATGGTTTTTCTGCAGCAACTTAACAAAAGTTCCAGAGGGTCTGCTCTCTGATTCTAACTTCAAGGCAGGTAGCAGCAGCCATGGCCTTCTGCCCAAACCGTCCTTTGGTGTCACTGGACATCTCTCCTGGTTGCACTGCTTCTGCCTATGTCAGATCCAAGCTTAGCTGCCATGTCCTATCCAAAAATTCCAAACGCTAACCAATACCTCTTACTATTTCAACCAACCAGAGTGGATTCTTTTATCCAAAACTAAGAACACCTAGTCACCAAATCACACATCCACACTCATAAATTGGGGCCTTAGTTTTGGTAGACCAATACTCAGTGTGACAACACAGAATTTTGCCTAGCTAATGAAGAGTCATGACCCTTCAGAAAGCCCCTGAAATTACTCCAAATTAATTCCACACACAAACCCCCACCAAATCCAAAGCCAGCCACATCCCACAGAGAAGCAAGCCAGAGCCTAAGATGGCTCTTTGGTAAATTCAGCAGTCCCAATCAAGAACACACATCTTGCTCAATCATTCCCTACCCCCTCCTCTATTAAATGCCCCTGTGACCTGAAAGAAGTTTATCTTTACATATGATACCATCTTTACATATTTTTACATATGATATCATCTTTATGTATCTTTACATATGATACCATCTCTGCCAATATAAGAGAAATTGAAATTCATGGCCTGGGAAGAAAGCACAAGTTAGACACCTCGATGGAGACCTTAGTCTCCCGCCCTGGGTATTTGAGGTGCTTACGAGATGCCAGTAAGAGAGAAAGGACTGAGAGAATGTCTTTCCTGTCTTTTTTTTTTTTTTTTT